AGTCCATACTCCGCATCACTCGGGTACTATATCTCTCATCAATCCTTTTCTATCTCTTCCGAAGCATCATGTTGACTAACACATGAAAACTTCATTCTGGGTATCAGGAAATCAAGCATATCCAGCACAATGCGGATCTCTGTATGTCTTATACTCAAGCAAGGTTTGCTTCTCACTCGTAATTTGAGGCCTTACTGACTACTGTTTCTTATTTTACAGCTCTCGCCGTGGCATACAAGGACTCTGATATTCGCAATGTGACCGCTATTGTGCTGGGAACCCCTGGAACACCTTACCAGTTCGGTTTCTTTGAGGTTTGTGCTCATTCCCACTGAAGATGAGGCCCATGGGCTGACTGCCAGGGTAGTTCAGCGTCAGTTTTGGTAAAGGTAGGAATGCTGGTCACTCGGTTACGGTCTGCGCTGAGTGTCAAACGGCTGATATTATTTCAGACTATCCTGCGACCCCGCCGATTGTTCAGATTACGACGACCAATGGAGGTCGATGCCGTTTCGGTCCTAACCTCTATGCCGGGGGTAAGGTTTGCTTGTGAGTCACGAACCATGTACATGCCGGCATAGTTGCGATGCTGACAAAGTTGGCACTGTAGATCAATCTTAGGGTAATTAGAACCTGGTGAAACCCGCTTGCCAATAACGCTGACAGCTTCGTCTTGCAGAACCTGGGGTGGTCAGCGCGGAGAGGAATGGTCATCGGCTCAAGGACTGGAGTCGATTCTGATCTCCATTCAGAGTCTCATGTCGAACAATCCTTATGAGAATGAGCCTGGATACCAAGGTGCACATGCGCCCGAGGATCAGGAAAACAGCCAGGCTTATATTGAAAAGGTAAGTTGCCTCAGGTACGATAGTTAACTGTGTGCTTACCTCGCCCTGAGATACGTCACGAAACTCTTCGCATTGCAGTTATCCAACCTTTGGAATCGTCACTGGGCATTCAGTCAAACGGAACAGTCAAGCCGTCCGAGAGCAAGAATGTAACCGAGGATGATGACTGTGACGACTCGTTCGATGACGAAGACGTCACTTTCTTCGAGCCCTTTGCGGACCTTCGCAAGAGACGCTTCTTGTGGTACTTTGACTCCTACATGAAGGCAATCACGGAAGCAGAACCACAGGTTAGACGCCGCCAGAGATTTGAAACCATGCCTTTTGAGACCGAAGATAATTGCATGAGGGGCCATTTTAATTATCCCGAATTGAGACGCCGACTCATCCGCGTAAAGGAAGCCATCCTCAAAGAGATGTGCAATTGGCCAATAGAAGGTCTCGAGGCGAAAAAGCAGGAAGCTAGCCTTGCGGTGAGCCTGCAAAGTCAGTACGAGCAGATTGTTGAGGATTTCAAGCATCGCCACAATTTCACAGTGGACCTGTGCCTCGTCCATGGAAACCCGTTCCTCTGGGAATTGATCTACTTTGGTCGTCCCATGACCCAGCTTGATGGAGGTGTGTTTAAGATCAAGATCTATCTGAGTCCGCGATTCCCGGACGAGCAACCCCGTGTCGTCGTAGAACCAGAGCTCTTCCACTACCGGGTGTCTAAGGACGGAACGTTGTGCTATTTCCCAAAACGCACAGAGGAAATGCGCCATCATATCGAGGCAATCGTGGAAGCGCTCGAAGAGGAGTCCGCACCTTACGATCCGCGGACAACCGTGAACCCAGAAGCATCCAAGTTGTTCTGGGGTAGCCCTGAGGACCGAAAGAACTACAACCGTGCACTCCGTCGCTCGGTGCAGAAGAGTGTAGAGTGAGGTTCTTGCGGGCTCGAAAGGCTTCAAGACAACATGTAAGTATTTGTCCAAATATGTTCAACCATCCCGAAGAACTTGGAGGCTTGGTACCTGGGCTCTGATAACTCGTCTGGAAATCCAAGTCGCCAAACGATCTTTTCTGGCGGCGCCAACCTCCTGTCCTTATACCAATCCCGTCACACGCCTCTATGGCTCTGCCAAAGCTTCCGGCGACAGGAGACACTTCTCATTTGCCCTGGGCCGTGAGTCCATGACTAGTTTGTACCCAGGCCTCGAAAACCTACGATTGCAAAGCGGCGCGACAGGCAAAAATGGTCATTGTTTGCTAGGTTTACTTTTGTATCAATTTTTATCTAGCAATACCAGCCGTTCTAGGTGTCACATAGCTTCAGTTCACAGAAAAGCTGTTGTGGTCCACATTTTGTAGGCATAGTTGTACTTTATCGGTTTTGTGGGGTGTTCCGAGCCCGTGCCCCAGAAGCATCTCAAGGCGGCACCGACCTTAATAATCATCTAAATTGCTAAATGATGCCAACGCCCCTATCTAAGTTCAATCACCAGACAAAAGAAGGGAAAAAGCAGGCCGTGCTCTCAACCTCACTTTCTTCACTGAACCCGAATCTCCCCCATCTCTCTTCGATCACATCACAAAGAATATCCTTCGATCGATTGACTGCCCCCGATGTCTCAGAAGCGGCCTACTTTGGAGCTGGGCTCTGTTCTGGTGGTCGGAGGATGCGGGTTTCTGGGCTGGCACATTGTCGATCAATTGCTCAATTTCCCTTCAGAGACCGATGCCAGCGTTGCCCTCCCGAAACCAGAAGGAGACTCTCGATTCGATAATCCTCGGTTGGTCGATCGGTACCCTAGGTGCGTAGCGAAGGTCGCCGTTCTCGACCTGCGAACAGCCAACAATCGCCTGCCCGGTGCACAGTACTACGACGGCGACATCACGTCCGAAGAATCCCTGCTGGCTATTTTCCGCGCGGTCAAGCCGGACGTCGTCATTCATACCGCGACGGCGAACGTGTTGGAAGGAAATAAGGAGCTGCTGCGCAAGGTCAATGTCGATGGAACCAAGACGTTACTGGAGGTCGCGGGCGGTGATCGTGGTGACTGGGGTGGGAAGTGCAAGGCCTTTGTGTATACGAGCTCGGCCTCCGTCCTGCACGACACACAGAGTGATCTGAAAAATGTGAACGAGGATTGGCCGCTCATTCGGGGCAAGCTACAGCTGGAGTACTACTCCGATACCAAGGTTCGTTTGTAAACACTTCTTTTGCCGTGCTGGGTTTTACTAACGGACATCAACCTGCCTAGGCCGAAGCGGAAGAAATAGTCTTGAAGTACAACCGTGCTTCTCCTTCATCCATGGTGACATGTGCTCTTCGCCCCGCAGGTATATACGGTGAGAAGGACACCACATTTACTTTCAAGGTCCTTGAGCACGCAGCCAAAGCATCTCCGACCGTATTACGCATGCAGCTCGGTGATAACAACAACTTGTTTGACTTCACATACGTTGGCAATGTCGCCTACTCTCATCTGCTTGCCGCATACCGTCTTCTTGCCACTCAGACGCGGTATGAGGCCGGGCAAGGCGGCCCCCTGGACCACGAGAAAGTAGACGGAGAAGCCTTCAACATCACAAATGACTCTCCCGTGTACTTCTGGGACATTACTCGCGCTGCATGGGCGCTGGCAGGAAAGGTTGTGGGGCCTGACCAGGTGTGGCAGCTTCCCGAAGATCTTCTCGGGCCCATTGGCGGCGTCCTGGAGACTGTATTTGGCCTTATTGGCAAGACTCCCCGTTTGACAAGGCGCATAGTCCGGTACTCATGCATGACTCGCTACTACTCTTGTGAAAAGGCCAAGTACCGACTCGGGTACAGTCCAATCGTCTCGGTCCCTGAGGGTCTCTCCCGCGCGGTTGGATATGTGCTGGAAAGCGAACGATTGGATTCTGAAAAGAAGGGGCTGTGACGCCTTGGCTGGGAATTTTTAGGTCGATATGGCGTATATGTATTGTAATATATGACTAATTCTTGTGACATTCCCCTTGGCTTTGTCCTGTTCATAGTTCTTCATGCAAAGCTACACTTGCTGATGCTATTCATGACAGACATTATGAAGAAATTCTCATACTACCAATCGAGGACCAGAACAGGATATATGTCTTTATTCACCTGGATCACAGCCAGATCTTGTAGGTCAAAATCGTTCGCATATGGGCTGAACCAGCTTTCCTGTTTTGACAGTTCAATACCAACAGACTGTCACCACAGCTTCCTGAGCAGTACCCGGAGCAACTCGTCCTGCTTCGCAAGATGTCTACTAAAGACTCTTCTTGTGTCTCTGGTATACTTTTCCAACGCCCTGAGATTCGGGAACTTTGTCGGTTTCTGCTTCAAAATACGACAATCGAGAAGATCCACGATATTGACATAAACCTCCGACAAAGCCTGAAAAACCAAATCAGTAACCCGGCCTCCCGACCTTCAAGGCAGCATAGCATACCTTCTTGCATTGCCTGATAGACGTGAACGGTCCTGTCAGGTCCAGCTCCTCGCACAATTGCTGCCAGTTCTGAAGTCCGGTGAGATTCTGCCCAAGCAGTCTATCGTACTCTAGGGCCATGCATCGGTTCCACATCTTGCGCCAGGTTTTTGAGCCCGTCTTCCATTTTCTGTGGCTTGCTAGACGGTTGAACTCATCGCTCACTGAGGCGTCTGGGTTGGGCTTGAAGTCTGGGAAGTCGGTGAAGAACGCGCGTGTGTTCGCTGCCATTGCAGGGGAGTCTCGTAGTTGCGCTATCGCCCGGCGAGGTCATGAATTCTTCGCTGGGAGTGATGAGGGTTGAGCGCTTGGCCATAATAAAGGTTTAGAAGCAACCACGAACGCTCCATTCCGAAGCCTTAGTAGCTCTTTTTATGTGTCTTAACGGACTAAGAGGCTGTCTCAGAGCTATTGCTTGTCTTAGGGCAGTCAAAGAAATGTTGCATTCACAGCTAGTTGAGTGTGTCTTTGTTAATTGTCTGACTAATTCATATGACAGTCTTTGGGCTGGTCTGACAGGAACAGAAAGAACTACCCTAGTGCCATCTAAATTTGACTACAAATGAGTTGCACCCGTGATTCCCATGTCACGCCACCATCTGTCTTCTAGCAGTGTGGATTAAGCTGTTCTGTTCCTTGTCTACTTGGTTTGTCTTGACCAGTCATTGAAATGCAGCTCCCTATCCCCCTGGTCAGCTTCTTGGGCCTGGTTACAAGTGCTCTAGAAAGCTGGACAGACGGCTTCTCCGATCTGTGGAAAGACACTTTGGGTAATGATGAGACGTTCGACTATGTCGTTGTCGGTGGTGGTACTGCTGGGGTGACTCTCGCGGTCCGTCTGGCTGAGCAGAAACTCCGGGTGGCTCTCGTCGAGGCTGGGGAAACATACGAACTCAGGTCCCCAGTAGCAGCCATTCCTGGCGCCGCCAGTATAGGTGTTGGCTCTGACATTCAATCCACCACGGCAATTGACTGGAAGTTTGTGGCTAGAAATGTCACGGGTGCTAATCACCGTGATATTCATTATCCCAGAGGCAAATGCCTTGGAGGATCGTAAGAGCATCGCGCTACTTTGCCTTTTTCGAGGCAACGGCCTATTTTACTGACTTGATATTCTGCATGGACAGGTCAGCTCTGAACTTTATGGCCTACCAAAGGTGGGCCAAACTTCGTTCTCTAATGCTGATTCCAGGAAATAGACTGATAGCTGTTGTGCTAGACCAACTAGGGAGTCGATGCAGCTTTGGGCTGATCTTGTTCAGGATCGGAGTTACACTTTTGACAACACTCTGCCCTATTATCAGAAGACCGTTCAGTTCACGCCCCCAGACACGCTGCGACGCGCCGCGAATGCTACAGCGCAATACAATCCTGATTCTTTCGCTCATGAAGGACAACGCCCACTTCACGTATCTTACCCTGTTTACGCTATGCCCTTTTCGAGCTGGATGAGACTTGGAGTGGAAGAGGTGGGTATAAACGAAACGCTGGACTTCAACAGCGGGTCATTGTTCGGTGCTCAGTATTGCAGCTTTACCATTCGACCGTCTGATGAGACAAGGAGCAGCTCGCAAGCTGCCTTTCTGAGCCCGCTACCTTCATCAACTTACCTGAAAATATATCAGGGTACGATGGCAAAGAGAATACTATTCAACCCACAAAAGCAAGCGTCTGGGGTGCAAGTGAGCGATTTACTGCGAACTTTCACCCTCAACGCGGAGCGAGAGGTGATCATATCGGCAGGTGTATTTCACACCCCGCAGCTCTTGATGGTTTCTGGAGTCGGGCCGGCCGATACTCTTTCAGAACACGGCATTGATGTTGTTCAGGATGCGCCTGGTGTAGGTCAGAATATGTGGGACCATGTCTTTTTCGGACCAACGTACCAGGTAGCACTTGAGACATACACGAAAGTACCAACAGATGTAGGGTATCTCGCATCGCAAATGGCTCAATATATATTCTCTCATGGGGGAGTACTCACCAATCCAGTCATCGACTACCTTGCATTTGAGAAGATCCCAAATTCCTTTCGTTCGAACTTCTCAGTCCAGACGATCGAGGACCTTTCGTGGTTCCCAGATGACTGGCCGGAGATTGAGGTTGGTCGCCTCGATGTGCAGATTTGTTGACGCGTAACTGACTTGCTTTTCCGGGCAGTACATTTCATCAGCTTCATACGTGGGAAATTTCTCGAACCCACTTGTCTCGCAACCTTCGGGTGGTAAGCAATATGCAACAATCCTGGGCACCCTTGTTGCGCCGACGTCTCGCGGAAATGTGACTATCGCCTCCAACGATACCTCAGATCTGCCTATAATCAACCCCAATTGGCTTTCAACGGAGGCGGATCAGCAAGTAGCGATTGCGGCGTATAAGCGTATCCGTGATATGTTTCACAGTGAGGCCATGGCGCCGATTGTTGTGGGAGATGAGTACTTCCCCGGGAGTCAGTATCAAACAGACGCAGAAATCCTCGAGGTTATTCGCAATACAGTGATGACTATATATCACGCTGCATGTACTTGCAAGATGGGAACACGAGACGATCCTATGGCCGTCCTCGATAGCCGGGCCAGAGTCTTTGGTGTCGATAGGTTAAGGGTTGTCGATGCCAGTGCATTTCCCATCCTGGTGCCTGGACATCCCCAGTCTACTGTCTGTAAGTAGCAGGAATTCCTTCTTCTGTGATCATTAACTCAATCAATTGGCAGATATGCTTGCAGAGAAGATCGCAACCGATATCATCTCCTCATTAGCCTGATATCTCTCTCAGCAGGAGAGTTCAGGCATAGATCTATTTGCAACAGAAGTAGAGACCATATTTATAAACTCCTGTAGATTATATATCCAGGACATAATCCTGATCTGTGTCTGTCTTGAGCAGGGAAGATCTCTGTGAAGCTTTACAAACGTGTATCATCTAAAACTTGCTAATATACATATCTGGTGCTCGATATACTTTGAGAAAATGGCATCAATTGACTGCTAGACTCGTTCTAGGGTCCTATATATTTTCGAGACTCAAGCTTAAAAGCGCATATATATATATATATTACTTTGGATGCTCAATATCAGCATGCAAAGATTTAAAGGATTCAACAGCCTCACAAGAACTAACACCCAGTTGCGAGCCAGTTTTCACCAAGTACACAGAGGCCAAGAAGAGTGTTCCGGAGCGTAGAGCAGCCTGCAGCCCTCCATGGCGTTTGGAGGATAGTATACGTTGACTTACCGCCGATTCCATCCCTTTGTGACACGGCGGCATCAACAATCATGATTCGCGGGCTCTTTATACCAATGCGAAGGGGATCGACTAGAGTAGGTAGTCACGGGGGATATTCGCATGGCATGGAATCGGTTCATGGGCGAGAGGACTACCTTAGGGACGAGTGATATGACAGGGTAAGGTCGATCAGCAATGACCTGATAATAATGACGAGGGTTACGCGCGTAGACAATGAAGATCATGAATCATTTCCATCACTCTATATCTACTCAGTACGTATCGATCGAGGAAATTAGCGAGGACAGACATGGTCTCAGGAAGGAGACAGCCAGTACCGTCGTTCGACCAGGCTAAATAAGATGGAGTCCAACTTGGTCCATTGATCCCTGATGGAGACGTTGAAGTGTAGGACGGAGTATTTGTTCTGTGATTAGGTATAGAGCCTACTGCCTACCTAAGGTGAAACTTACCACCTAGAGAGGTAGGGGTCCTTGCTTATGTGGAGGAAGAGCTCCCCCATTTCGTCCAGTCATGCTCCAGTATCTGGCTGTATATCATTCGTCCCCGCAAGAGGATGCTGATCGGCTCCGGCTAGGGATTTCTGGGGTAATGATGGACAGTGCCGTTTCTGAGGGTTGCGATGCCGACTTGCTGAAGTTGGAGAATGAAGATCCTGCAGGATCCATGGAATGGGTAATGATTGATGGAGCAGGCAGTGAGGAAAGTTTGGGTCGCGGACGACGGACATTTGTGAGAGAATATTCTAGCGAAGTTTTTGTGGGTACTTTTTCAAATGCAATTCGCGTGACGATGAAGGATAAGCTTAATAGGCTTTGCTGAGAATTGGATGATTGAAAGTCAAAACGAGGCGTCTGAGATTATGGGTTGGCTGCTATGAGAGATAGGAGTATGATGTGTCAGATTTAACGCTCCCATAGTCATGGATATACAATCTGATTACTCTAGAAGTACATAGTTAGTAATGAAGGAGAAATTGGATGCGTCATGGGAGAAGTCATGCACAGGACATAGGTACGGTAGGTAGGTAGGGGAGTGATCTGTGAGAGGCAGAATGGATGCTTGCGGCAAAGATATCGAGAGTTGCTTTTCCCCGCCCTTTTACCCCGCAGAGACTCAACTGGTCCTACACTCCACGCATCAACGACCTCTAAAGAAAGCAATGTTCAATCACTATGAGTTTTCTCCTTGGCATACTAGAATAACTTGATTGTTTCAAACATGAGATAACCCAGGAATACAACGCGAAACATTGTTCAACGCTGGAGGCCAGTAGGAATCATCTCCGAGCAATCCGCCCGAAGGTGCAGGTGGCTAATGGCTACGAAAATTATTCTGTGTGCACCTTTTCAAGAAACTCCAATAGACAGATTAAAAGGGTATTTCTCTCATGGGTTATTGCTATGACTACCATGGCTCGATCGGCAGATGATAAACACGTACTTCATCCTTGATAATGGCAAACATCCAAAAAGTAATACCCTTGCATAAGTACAGGTGCATGATTCGCCATTTGCATCAGTGGTTTATTTGGTCGATCCTCTAGTCTAATCTCTTGGGAAGTGTCAGAGTCAACTGTCTCATTCCAGTCGAAAAGTTATTTTCTTTGAGAGGCGATGCCCCTGGATTGAGCTAGGTCAAGTGCTCTAGGGAGGAAAATGAGATCCATGGGACAAAACGGCGATGACGAGAGTTGACGTTGCAGGTGTGCCCCGATCAAATCAGCAGCCAGCATTTATACCTACCCATGCAGATGAGTTAAGAAAGTTCAGTACTAGTAGATACCGTAGGTAAGGTAGTTCAAATTTGTATCCCCACCTCAGAGAGAGAGTAGACGGACAGACTGCCAGAAAAGGATKTCAACGTGCCTAGTAGCTATTTTTGTGTAGGGAGAAAAACTATGAAGTAAGAACAAATCCTAGCATAGTAAGGACATAGCAGATCTAGATTCCACAGAAGAGGGACCATGTTTGGGTGGTTTGGGATTAGCACTGCATGGATGTTTAATGAATGCACCGCATCGTCGTCTACCACCTACAATGGATAGATACAGACGAACCAACGCATAATGGCCATTTGAAGAATGACAGAGGGTGGCGGCCAGTGGCTGTTGGGGTAGGTCGTGTGGTCGGAATGATATCCCTTGAGGGGGGAGACATAGTAAGAGAAGCAACCATGTGCAGAGGAGTTGTCCAGGTAGGAGGATTCTGGATGATTGAGCAAGCCTTTCTCATAATGACAGCGAGAGTCAAGTACATTTATTCAAGCAGATAAAATATGAAAACAGTACATAGGCTCCCTTGGATAAACAAACTACTTCTAACTTACCACGACTGGCTTTATAAGTTTATAACCGTACAAAAATAATAACACTAAATAACCATGAGACTGCAATCATGAGATAGATAGACTCCAAAGTAAAGTCAAGAGTCAAGACAATAGCATCGTGCCATCGGCTAGTCTATCACAAGTGGACCGCCTATTTGCTGATCAATCAACTTGAGAAACATCAAACCAATTGTATTGCCTGGATAGAATCGTGTTGAGACTAAGTTTCTCGTCCTATGGGCTTAACCTTGTATGTATTTCTACTTTTTCTAGCAGTAGTAAAATGTGAAAAAGAGGTCGTTTTCCCTCGATAAAGTAAAATAATAGAGAGGGAGACAATATTCAAGTGCTGCGCTGCTGCTGCGTTTTCCCGCTTACAGTCAGAGTGTTTCGTCTTGTTTCGTCTTTCTCTTCGTCTTGTTCCCTTCCACGTTCATCCTCAGCTAACCTCACTTCTTTTCCCCTCTCTTCCAAACCACCTTATCTATTTCCTGACCATCATCAATTCCCTCCGAGTGTTGTCATTTTATTGCTTCAAGTTTCCACACAACATCCAACCTCTGATTGAGTCAATCACCTCTCCTGAGGGTTGACTCTGTCGATCACCCTAGTTTCGCGTTTACACCTCTCCGTCGCGCCATTCCCCGCATAGCCGCTATTCTCCGTCCAATTTCACTCCTCCTTCGACCTTGAATTTTCATCTGACCAAAATTTTCTCTATATCCTTCGCGTTCGGGGCAATCCATCTCCTCTGCTACTTGCTTTGGGAGACACGGTTGTCTCACAACGCCTGTCGTCCTCTGTGAGGTCATCCCTCTTCCTTCTCGCCTGCGTACCTCCGCGACCCAGCCATGGCCCATTAGTCCTGCGGATGCATTCATAACACCGCACGAGGGCACCGGCTCTGCCCGGCAGACGCTCTGCTCGGCTTACTGTACACTCTCGGTTTATTTGGCTCGCTTGATTCTGCCTCGCGCTCTGCACTCACAACACGTCGTCTACGCCGCTCTCGGTCCTCAATTCGGTCAGGTGGACCTTTCAGTATGGCGGGAAATGGCACACCCAGTGCCCAGTTCCTTGCTCCCCCGGCCGTTACTGCCTTACGGCAGGAGGCTCGGGGGATCGACCCGAAATTCCCACCCATGACTCGTTCCCTTAGCGATGATATGCGGGAAGAACGCGAGGAGTTGAAGGAGGCGGCGGAGCAGACCTTGAACGTCATCGTGGATTTGGATCTGGACGGCCGCATCAAATGGGTCAGTCCATCATGGCGTCAAGTGGTGGGGACATCTCCTGAATCGTTAGAAGGCCGAATGATTTCGGATTTCCTGGTCGACAATAAGACTGCCTTCCACGATGCTATTGAATCCATGAAGGAAGACGACTCTCGCAGTCGCTTTATTCGCTTCGGTGTGAGGATGGGCCCCGAGTCGATACTGAAATACTCGCCCGAGCCCCGACCAGTCGATACGGTGACAGAAGAAAGCAGTGAGGGTTCTCAACCGTCGAAGGAAGCAGACAACTACCATGACGTCTTGAGCATGGAAGGGCAGGGCATTATGGTATTTGAGCGGACGCCAGATGGGACCGGCCATGTAGGTTTCCACTCATCCCGACATAACGCGTTGACCCGCAGAATGACAGACTAACGAAGCTCTGATTTTAGACTATGTGGATGCTACGACCTTTCCATCAGCCCCGAGAAGTGACTATTGATCTTCCTCCTCTGTTGGTGGAGTCGTTGGGTGTCGGTGCTGAAGTACTGGCGAACTACTTGACAATTCTCGCTGAGGCTGCGGCGAATGAACCCGATCCCTCGAAGTACCCTGCGCCCAATCCGGTTCTCTGTCGCATTTGCGAGCGTCAGATCACCCCTTGGTGGTTCGAGAAACATTCCGATCTCTGCCTTCAGGAACATCGGGCAGAGATGGACGTTCAGATCGCCCAGGAAAATCTCAACGAGCACCGTCACGCCATCGTGAAAGTCTTAGATGCACTGGAGGCTCGACAAAGCAGGCCTCTGGCGGGAGAAGCGCCTTCCCCGACACCGCAGCCGGAGTATAAAGGACTAGCAATTGGGCCATCACCCGTCGTTTCGGCACCCTCTTCTGGAAATGTTTCAAACTCTAGCTCGGCTCCATGCACTCCCCCACGGTCTCGCGAACATTCAGCTTCGGATGGCGGCCATTCACGCGGTCGGTCATTTGCAATTCGGCGACCGTTCACTCGGATCGTTGAGCTGATTCTCGATTTGTGCGACACAGCTCTCGAAATTAACATGCCCGTGATCAAAGAACCCCGCGGGGACAGCATGGATGATTTCCGGACTCTCTCACCGCAATCCGAATCTCGAATCTCTCAAGTCTTGCAGTGGCAATCTCCCAGTTCCAACACTTTGGAACAGGAGCAAGGTCTCGCTGCTCTAAGCGCTGACACGGAGCAGGTCTGCAAAGCAAAAGTTGACGCAGTTGTCCGCCATCGCAAGATCGTCGAATACGCAGAGCGGATCCGCATTGAGTATACGGTGATGGTGGAAGACTGTATTACAGCTGCCCTTAGTAAGGCTGAACGTATCGCTGCCGGCCAGTTGAGCGATTCGACGTCATCGGAAGACGAGCTCCCGCCTGAAGACGCTGCTGCTCCCTCTGCGACTGCTAATGACAGTAGTACTGCCGTCGCTCCTCCCCTGTCACCGCAGCCTGTCAGCCGGCAGCCAACTCTGTCGACATCTGCATTGACCATGTCTATGCGCAATGCATCCGAACGCTTTCAGTTTCCGCACACCGAACGTAGGTCGTCCTCCTCGGTTGCCGTCTCTACGGGATCAAACAGCCCGATGGAATGCCCTACTCCCCGGTCGCACAGGAGTGCTGCGGGATTATTAGGCACATCTCAACCTTCTCGTCGGGGGCTCTCGATGGTAGATCTCGATGCGGGAGAAATGAGCGATAGCAGTGTGCTTTCCTCTGCTTTTACCGGAGCCGTACGGACTGAATCTCCAGCATCCGACCGGAGCTTGGAGAGAAAACGCAGAAGCTTGGTGCTCCCAGGGTTGTCCAGCTCCCCTCGTCGCCAGCCCTCGCCCGCCAGAATGTCGACCCCTCACTCGCCCTTACGCATGCCCAAACCTCGGCTCTCCAGCGGCGCTGAAAGCCTGCCGTCGCCCATAGTTTCACCTTCCACTCACGCGAGTGAATTAGCGAATTATCACTACCGCCATCATCGACGACAGTCATCAGCGACTTCATCTGACGTGACGAAGCCCCCAGTTTCTCCTCACCTGACATCTGCCAGTCAGCCTCAACCCCGTCCAGCGCCCCCGTCGATCAAAGATTTCGAGATCATCAAACCTATTAGCAAAGGCGCCTTTGGCAGCGTCTATCTGTCCAAGAAGAAGTCGACTGGGGAATACTTCGCAATCAAAGTTCTCAAAAAGGCGGACATGGTTGCCAAAAATCAGGTAACTAATGTCAAAGCTGAACGCGCCATCATGATGTGGCAGGGGGAAAGCGATTTCGTTGCTAAGCTGTATTGGACGTTCTCGAGCAAAGACTATCTCTATCTGGTCATGGAGTATCTGAATGGTGGCGACTGTGCTTCCCTTGTCAAAGTCCTGGGCGGGCTTCCAGAAGACTGGGCCAAGAAGTATATAGCCGAGGTGGTTCTCGGAGTGGAACACCTGCATAGCAGGGGCATTGTCCATCGTGATCTCAAGCCGGACAATCTACTGATCGATCAAAAGGGCCACCTCAAACTGACCGATTTTGGCCTGTCCCGTATGGGCTTGGTCGGACGCCAGAAGCGCGTCCTCAAGAGTTTGAACGAACCAGCGCCCGACCTTTTGAAGCAGGGTCCCTTCCCTCGCGCGACATCTATTGCGTCATCTCGGTCGGCGTCGTTCGATTTTCAGGCCCCTGGTTCACCAGGATCAACACCACTCATGACCCCCGACCTCGCTGGCAGTCTGACCCAGCCATCGTACTTCAGCCTTAACCAGAGCGGTCTCAGCCGCCAACCCTCGCGTCGGGCATCCGGCTACCGCAGTGACAGTGGTGGCAGCGAAAATCTGAGCGCTATATTCCGAAATTTCTCTCTTAACGAGGGCAACGAGACTGCGTCTTCTTTGCCGCCATTTTCCTTACCTGTTCCGGTACCATCATCCAATAACGCAGCCGAAGAAGAGAGCCAGAGTGAAGCCGGCGAGTCTCCCCGCTTGTATCCGCTCCAGCCGACCTTGAGCAACTCGGTACCCTTCAGTACTCCGCCCCAGCAGTCGATGATGCCTCCCCTCATGGCGCTCTTTGACCCCGAAGATCATAACAGACGATTCGTCGGCACTCCGGACTATCTCGCACCGGAGACTATTAATGGACTAGGCCAAGACGAGATGAGCGATTGGTGGTCCTTGGGCTGCATCATGTTCGAGTTTCTCTTCGGTTTCCCCCCTTTCAACGCCGCGACTCCTGACGAAGTGTTCGAGAATATCCTACACCGGAGAATTAACTGGCCAGACGAGGCAGAAGAGCTAGCATCTCAGGAAGCCATCGATCTCATGAACAGACTTATGACTCTAGATCCTCGCGAACGCATCGGAGCCAACGTTGATGACAAATTCCCGAACGGAGGGGCGGAAATTCGCAGCCACCCTTGGTTCTCTGATATCAACTGGGATACTCTGCTGGAGGATAAAGCACAGTTTGTGCCGAACCTTGAGAATCCTGAGGACACCGAGTACTTTGACGCCCGTGGCGCCACTCTACAACCCTTTGCCGAAGAATTAGAGGAAGGGCATTCTTCGCAACCTGTCACAGCAGCAGACCGCCCTCATGACGCGCTGTTCAAAGTTCGCTCGCAGGTCAATTCGATGAAGCGGCCCTTGATGCCTCTCCACATTCCCCCGCATGTCCGTGACTCGCGTAGCAGGAGACTGAGTGAGCCAGCCTTGGCCGATGACTTTGGCAGCTTTTCCTTCAAGAATCTCCCCATGCTCGAGAAGGCCAACAAGGATGTCATCCAGAAGCTGCGCCAGGAGGCTTTGCAGGCCCAACAGCGCCAATACAGTTCTTCCATTGCTCAAGCAATTCCACCAACGCAGGGTTCTGCAGCCCCGTCCGGCCCTTCGCTGGAGGGCAGCCCGTTGCCGATGCCACTACAACGAACCTTGTCTCATAATAAAGGCAGCAACCGACCATCATCGCCTTCCAGCTTGAGCCAAGCTAACTCCTCTCCGAGCCGTCCTTCACAGCCCTCATCCCCGCTTCTTGTGCAATTCAGCACCGGCAACAACCACGAGCGCAGAAAGACGTCAGGATCATCCTCGACGAATTCTCATCAGTCTAGCGGGTCTTTTGCGACCGGCAGTACTGATCAGGGTCGCATGGCAAATATCAAACTAGGCTCATCAGCATCATCTCCCAGTAAAATCGGTCGAGGAGCGACACACTCGCCGGATAAAACACCTTCGGGCCAACGACAGGGCAGTATCCCAACAGCCCGAGCGAGATCGCAAACGATCGGATCCCAAGATGGAGAATTATCGTCCTCTCTCGCAAAGGAATCGTATGTCGCTGGTCATTACAAGCGCCGCAGTCAATTGTTTGACATATCACCTTCCTCGTCAGACAATGAGGACCCTCGTACGAAAGCTTTGCTCAAAGTCCAGCGCCGTCGTCAGAGCTCAAGACGCCTGTCCCAGATCAACATTCTTGACGGTCCATTCTTCCGGCCTTTGGATGTGCTTATATGTGAAGATCATCCGGTTTCTAGGATAGTGATGGAACGCTTGTTTGAGAAACTACGCTGTCGCACAATCACCGCGGTGAATGGTGCAGAGGCGATGCGCTACGCCCTGAGTGAAGTCCAGTTCGATATCATCATGACCGAGTTCAAGCTACCCCAGGTGAACGGAGCAGATCTCGCCCGCATGGTACGCGAAACACGCAGTGCCAATCGGCATACGCCAATCATTGCGGTGACTGGATATCTGAAGGATTTACCTGAAACACATCATTTCGACGCGCTGATTCAGAAGCCCCCAACCTTGACCAAACTCACCGAGGCTTTGTGTAAGTTCTGTCAGTGGAAACCTCCACCGAAGGATCTTAGCCCCTCTCAGCCCTTCGCTGGCCAGCCATCCGCGCTTCGTCACGCTGCTCTCGCCACCAATGCAGATCAAAGCCCTAGCTCGACAACATCTTCTGGCTTCGCAGTCGTACCTTCAAGCTCGTACCGAGGCTCGAGCCGGGAGGATTCTATCGGTAGTAGCTACTTCGGGGATATGGATTCCATCAAGGCCGAGGAGGCTCCTGTGGTTGTGAGTCGCCCCAACGACGAGTGGATGTCCAGCCAAACAGAAGGACTGGGCATCTCGGACGATTTAGCTCCCAAAGGTGCGACGGATTCCGAGTCTTATCCTAGCTCCAATGCAGTTCCATTTCCGCATTTACTCCATGCCGCTTCAGCTCCCGCTGCCATGGAGCCAACCGGAAAGGCGACACCTCGCAAAAAACGCTCCGGCGAGTCCATCCGCGCCAAGAGACAGTCGTTGGAAAACAAGCGCTACGAGTGCGCCGAGTCTGGCGATGACGAAGATGAGGAGCTTGGAAACGCGCATGTGCGCACGCCTAGCTCGAAATCTAGGTCCCACCGACCGGGTTCTAAGTTGGGGGTAGAGATGATGAGGACCAACAGCCGGGGCAGTGTGGTCAGCGGCAGCGAAGAACTGCTGAGAAAGGAGCGCGAGGCATTGGAAAGGGGCAAGAATGGAGAGTCTGAGAACGCGATTGAGAGCGGGGAGGAGCCGACCTCGTCGTCTCCAAGCACCTGTGATGTGGAGGACAGGTTCGACAAACTGCAGATCTCCGACAACACAATACTGGAGAGACCCGAAGAGGAAATCAGCCCGAGAGACTCGCCATTACCACAGGGTACAGATCTGGGCTCAACCTCGTCTGCAGCGACACGGCTGAAGAGACCGTCCTGCTCGCAACGCGATACGGGGGTCACCGAGATTTACAGAGGGACTGCCAGCCAGCCTTCCGCCGCAACAAAGGCTGGCGCGGAAACTCTCAAGAAGGGCCAAGTCACTCCTCCGATTATCATTTCCAAGGAAGACGAACCCGGCGCCTCCGCGATGATCCTAAACACACCATCACCCAGAATGTCAAAGGGCAATTTAGGCACCGATGCCGACAATGATTATGATCAGTCTGCCGACTCCGAAGCCACGCCTCGACCTCAACATACCCCTTCCCCAAATTTAGATCTCGATCATACCCCGCGACCATCTGAGCGATAGAACCGCGGCAATGCCAGTGTCTGGATAGAACAAATAGAAATTACGCTTTCTTGACAGTTCTCTACATGGCAAGGCATTGCATTCCAATCTGCCTTACGATGGCGCATCCTCTTTGCATCGCCAAAGACCTGTTTCAATATGCATCTACACTTGTCAAATTATCCTCTCCTGTCAAGAGTGTCATTTTGCCTCTCGTGACTTGATTTTCGTCTTTCTTTCTTTTGCTTTTTATCTGGTTTGTCAAGGCTAAGCGGGTGTTGGGGGGTTTGTCATCTCACCATGTGACCATTGTTTCGTTACATTCCTTGGGCTTTTCCATTCATCTCTTTTACCACCAACTTGCATCACTTACGATCTCAGCATCTCTTTTGTACGATTTTCCTTGCTTCTTTCTTCAGAACAAATTGTGTACTTAGGGCTCAACAAAAGCAGATCCACAGCTTTTGGAGGTGCGGGAATTCATCCGTCGACTCGAGACTCGGACGTGCTCAACGTGCTCAAGTAAGCTGTAATTACGGCAGCGCATTTGGATGTATGCTCGAGATAGATGCTTTATTTATCTTATGCCACAGTCTGGGTGGGAAATTGTATATCTGTATATGTAGATACATGTAAAGTCTAATAAATCACAAAGAAAGCAACATGATAGTTCAAGTACTTGGATGAAACCGACATCAAGCCCATTTCACATCCAAAGCGAACGAACACTCCGGACATACCTCGTTCGACGGGTTTCCGATTGGATAGAAAATCGTATTACAAAAAGGATAGACTGTATTCACAGGTCGAGAAAAGAAGATCCAGGGAGATGCCGGATAAGATGCGGTATGTGCTGGACATGAGCAGGTAGTGACGAGTGATCTAAATGGGAAGGGTATATAGCTGTGGTGTGATCAATGTCCCGTCGGCTGCCGGTTGATAGTGGTACCCCGGTCCTCTGTCGAGCGAGCAGAGGGCGACACGGTGCGGATCTGCGACAGCGCCGGGCCGATGTCAGACCGCCCCTGTTCCATCATGTCCTCTTGCTCGTGGACGGGGTGTGTGCGATGGCGGAAGAACCGGTTGCGGCTGATGGAGGAGATGCTGTGGCCGCCGTGAGAGTCGGTAGAGCGGCGGCCGTCGGAACCGGTGGCTGCGGGGACGCTGCGGTTGGAGTTGGAGGTGCGGATCTTGGACAACGAGGCGCGGCTCCTGCGCTCTTCCTCTTCCTCCTCCTCTACTTCCTGGATGCGCCGTTCGTCGTTCTCGCGGTTCGCAATGCGGACGACTTCGTCAACGTAGCGGCCGCGGCCTTCAAAGACATCGCCCATGACATCCATGGAGGAGATGTCGCGCATGCCGAGTGAGAAGTCGACGTGTTTGCGGGAGATGGATTCGCCACGAGCGCGCGCGGCAGCGGTGTTCATCCCTTTGCGGAGGATCGAGGGGTGGCGAATGGCAGTGCCGGTGCCGGTGCCTGGCTGGTCGTGGTACTCCTTTTCGCGGAGAGGTGTAGCTGGGGGCCGGCCGTCGCTGGTGCCGGGTGGGGGAGCGAATTGCTGGTTGTGGCCGTTGTAGCGAACGTGAACGGGGAAGTCGAGGCTCGCGCCCTGGAGGTTCATGCGTGGGCCCTCGATGCCAATCTCCTGCAGGGCGATCATGAGCATGCAGATAAACTTGTTACGACGTTGCAGACGCAGGCCTTCATTCTGCCAGTTGGATTTGTAGAAAAAGACGACGTTGAGAGTAACGGAGAAGTTTTCGGTGACCTGGCGCATTTCGGTGAGGATGTTGGTCTGGAACTCGCGCTTTTCGCTGCGGACAAACTCCAGCAGGCGTTGGCGCAGCGCGTCGATCTGTTCGAGCGTCGTGCCGTATTTGATCACGATGGGGACCGCTTCGGCGAGAGCGCCCGAGCGGCGTTGGTTCAGGATGAAGAGAGTATTGAGATAACTGTTGGGCGCCTGGACGACGTGGCCCTGCATCTTCTTGAATTCAGTATACAGGAGGGAAATCTGCTTGACAAAGTAGTCATCACCAAGACCAGCATCTCCGGCGTTACCGTAAATTGTGACACGGTCTCCCACGTCGAAGGGGTGCTTGACGAAAACGAAAATGACTGATTGGAGAAACTCCTGAGCAGTGGAGGAGAACAGCCAGGACAATGCAAGGACACTGGAGCCTGCAGAGGTAAGAACACCAGCGGCCGATGTGGAAATCAGCGACAAGAAGACAATGAGTGCGATGACGATGACGAAGAACTCCAGCACATTGTCGAGTCTCGATACGACCGAATCGAGATCTTTCAAAGATGCGGTGATCGATTTACGCTCCCGTCCGATCTCCACGCAGACTGCTTCTAGCTCTTCCATGGAGATATCGCCATTCATATCCTTGTCGAACATGGTGAATGCGGCCTCGGCTTCCTCGTTGTTGTCGAATGCCTCTTTCAAATCCCCGGAAAACACGGTTTCAAACCCATCTCGCACAAAAGTGCGGTAGAGCCGTCTGGCCAGGGCCTGACAGCCGGTAGTCGTGCGCAGCAAAGTCAAAACAACCTGGTAGGGGTGGCTGCTGCTCGTAGCCTTGCGGCCGGTGAAATCAGCCGCGACTGCACCCGCGACGTCCGTGACTCGATTCATGGCGCCCTTGGCAATACGCTGCGCCTTTCCGGCATATTGCAGGGGAACGCGCAACGGCGTCTTGGTGCCGCTGCCACTCTGATCATTTTTCTCCTCGAATTCGTCATCATCAGCCTCGAGCTTTGCTTTGGAAAAGTCATACAGCTTGGTAAGACTGCCAATCTGGAACTTGTTGATTTCAATTCGATCGGCATAGGTGCGCAAGTGGAAGCTGATGGCGATGAGCTGAATGATAACCTTTTCGATAAGGTTCAAGATGGTCCAGACGAAAATGGAGATGATGATCTTGTTGACAGTGTTTTCCCAGCTGCGGGTGGCGGAATTCCCATCAACGTGGTGATTCTTCATGGTAGGCAAGAACGAAATTTCAACACCCAACCACCAGAAGAAGAGTGTCGCATGAAGCTCCAACTGCTTAGCCAAGTCACGCCATTTTTTCGCATTGTTTGTGAAGATACTCGCAAGCAATCCCACAGGGATGGGGATGAATTTAGCCACGATCTAGTTCGAGTTAATGATCTTTCCAAGAAAAGAGTTGAATAAGAAAGATACGTACTCTACCGGCCCAAAGCGTCAACCAGACAATCTCCAGCCAGACGGAGAACCAAAGCAGAGAAACGCCTCCAACATTGGCATCAGGAAAGGCCAAAGCCCCAACAAGCAAGGGAATGAGAAAGATCAGAACAAGCGGGATGATATAGGTGATATAGCGAATGATGAAGCTCGACTCATGAACCTTCTTAATGAACTTGGAAATCTTCGTATTTGGGTTTTCAGGCGGGTTATAGACGGCAGCCTTCTCGTGCAGTGGATTTGTGGCTTCGTCGAATTCATCGATATTGCGAGCGCGATGCGAACGAATTCGCGAGATGGACTCCGCCTTGCTTCCCTTTTCCGTGTCGTCATGGGTCGAACGAGATGCGACACGCTCCGCCTCGAGCAAAGCCAGGTCATCATCTAGACGCAGCGATCGTTCTCGCGCGGCCGAAGGTGAGCGCAAGGGTAATCTTTGGGTGTCGTCATAGGAGGTGTCAACCCTGAGGTGATTGTTGTTACTGGCGGCAGAGCCATCATGGATATATGTGCCGTCATCGGAAGGGGAGACGTCAACATCATCCACCCTCTCTTTTCTTTTTTCTTCTGTATATCTAGGAGCAGGGTGCTCCTCGACGGGGGTGGACATACTAGCACCAGGCTAGATATAAATACGGGGGAGAGCTTGTAAAAACAAGTCGATTAAGCTGAAAGCAAAGTTAGAATCATGGATTATAGACGAAAGCAGTAGTAGATGGTCTGGAATCAATAAGTGACCATATAAATGAGCGATAGCGGATTCTTGAGAATGAACAGAAGAGAAAGGATGATGAAAGAGCAGAAAGCAAAGGAGAGTGATGAGACCAACCAAGAGCAATGGGGAAGCCAAACGGGGCAGTCCCTTGAGAGACGGGGAATTAATTCAAGCAAGACGTATGCAGGTACGATTGAGGATAGAGAGTACCTCATGAAATAATATGAGTATAATTGAAAGTGCAGAAAGAGATAAGATGAGATGAGATATGCCTGCCAAAGAATGACAAGCGGCAAGAAAGAGAGCGGATCGCAGGACAAGAATAGGAGAGAGGAGTTAAACAAGTCGCCGACCAGCCAGCATCATATGTAGAGAGAAAAGAAAAAGAGCGAGAAGGAGCTTTTTTAATCTACTTGACAAGCGACGGAATTGAGGAGAAACGGCGATCAGGCGGGAAGACCCAGAGGAGACGAGCTCAAGTCAGAGATTTTCAAGTCCAGGCCTTTTCTCGGTTGATTCAAGGTTGCGGGTTGCCTCCGCCAGAATGATCTGATTCGATACATGAAGAGATCTATCTGTGTGCTCTTGTCTCTATATCAGACCGTGGTGGGAGTTATTTTGGGTGAGTGGTCCCTGGACCCATAAAAGATAGGGATTCGTGGACCCATACATAGTACATGGCGATGGGTCTTCGCCCTCTTGGAAACAATGATCGTAGAATCCGAATAGATCAATCTACTTCGTCCTGTGTCAATTTTCTCATCGTACACTGCCAGAAAGAGGACTATCTCCATATTGTCTCATAACTAATATAATCACAGTGATAGCTGTGCAATATCTCTAGGTACCAGCATCATGTAAGGGCGGAATAACTATCTTCAATCTCGTCCATGCAATGAAGTGGCCACCGCCAAGCAACGCCATCGACGCCACATCAGGCACTTGTGGTCTCCCATTCGAGACACTTGGTGGGGCAATTAGAGAGACTGCTCTGGTGGGAAATGACGATACCAGGCCCAGTTTTCATAACAAATCATCGCCAATGGAGAATGTGTTAGAATTCTAGCATAAAAGCTCAGGTGTTTTAGTTT